ACCTAGTTCGTGCTGCGTGTAGCCGCGCGGCACGGGGTTTGAACCAGCGGGGTTTTAAAAATGGCGGCTCCCCGCTTATGCAAATGAAGCCTGGGAAATTCAAATCCCGGGCTTCATTTGCAAGTGCGGTATGCCTACATTGCCCCGCTAGTTCGAACTAGCGGGGTAGTGTAGACATACCCTCTGTTCCACAACCATTACTTCTACTGGCTATGTGCTTACACTTGGAGCTTCGCCACTGAATTCAGTGGAGCCAGGATGTACACTGCTTGAATATTCTTCTTCTTCCATCTCTTATGAACTTTGATTCATTTCCTGAAGATACGCAATGCCAGCATATGGGCAAGATCATCTTAGGAGTGGATGTAATTCTGCATCCCAACTGTGCACGTAATCAGAGCCCAGATAGACTCACCAACAGCCACAAGTTAATTCTTAGCTACATCACTGAATGGCAGGCTGTCTCACTTCTGACCACGTTTCCATCAAGGACTGGACATTGTTTACTTTTGCCTTACAGAAGTCACTTTAAGGCACTCTACACAATCCCAGCAAGTTTTAAACCACTTGGCCAGGAATCTAGGTCCCCCATTGCCAGTGCCAACTTACTGTGTCCTTAAAAAGCAACTGAAATTTCCGGCCATTTAGTTAACAATTGTAACAACATCTGTCTGTTAGTTCTGCAGTTGTATATGAGGAAAATTCCATCCTTTTCCATTAAAACAAAAGACCATTTTGCCTATTGAAGCAATCTTTGAATGGCAAAATAAATTTGAAGTTAATTATTTGATGCTCTCCTACACCCATACCCTTTTATTCCTGGCATAGTTGTGCCATACTCTAGTACAAATAAAATAACTATCAGTACAAAATAAATTAGATATAATTTCATAGTATTTGACATATACAAGTTAATATTTTATTAAATAAATACAGTAGATGACAAAAATTTTACTGCTGCAACTGGAAAATTACATTCTAAGATAATTATAGGTCATTTCAAATGATGTATTCCCTAAAATATATGCAGAATACTATTTCCCTGTGAAATAAGAAATACAATGGCAAGAAAGTTAAGGGACATGTTTTTATTTCATAGCTTTCTGCAAGCAAAACTGCTTTGATACAAAATGAGTTCAATGATATAGTGCTACCGTCCACTCAAGCAAAAGAAACCTCACATTTACATGAACGCACTTTATATTGAATTCTTACAGTATAGTAGTTTTAATATCCAGAGTGTGTCTGGCCTCATTAAAGCAATGGCACAGAAATGCTGCAAGATATTGGAGTATTGTATGACTGGCAAGTGCTTAAGTAACTTTCTGTGAGTTCTCCAAGAGATGCTGCATAAATAATTGTAGTGTGAATGTGGTTTTTATTCCTTAGTAAGTCTGACATACAGCCTTTAGTATTCTTTAAGTTATCTCAAGATGTGTAATTGTGTCTTTTGGCTTTTTATATTTATTTTAAAGAAAAGTCATGAGGTATCCTTTCCTGTTAACTCGTGATGGAGTGATAAACCTATTTGACTGAGGTTGCAGAGTTAACTGTACATTCAGTACACTACACTTTTGGGAACTGTTTTAGTGTACTTTTTAACCTTCACACAGGATATGGCAGAAACAAACAAAATCTGACAAAAATTATACACATAAAATAAAAACAAATACACAAATAAGGCCATCTGCAGAATTAAAAATCCACCTCTTGCAATATTTCACAATAATTTCTACATAATATTTTACATCTTACAAACTTAAATATTTAATGCACAAGGCAAAGACCTTTATGGAGCAGATCACATTATCTCTTGGAGGACTTGTCCAATTTGCTGACTGGTGGCCTCCTTTGGGGAGTTGGAATTTTAGAAGGCTTGGCTGATGTTGGCCGAGAACCTGCTCGGGGCTGTGGTCTGCTTGCACTATGAACAGTCTCTGACATGTCTGAACACACAGACTGGATTTCTGAAATGTCAAAGTCAGATGCATCACTGCCTCGGCGGCTACTTGACCTACTGCCCGCCTTGCTTCCTGCTCGGCTTCCAGGTCTACTTGGAGTTTTTCTGGTGTCTGTAAGGAGAGGGGAAAGGTGTCTATTGGCAATAGAGAGACGAGGTTGAACGAGTGATATTTAGTGGGTGTTTTTATACACTTAGGACCTTAAACATTTCACAAGCCACCTCTGGAACTCCTACTGGTGCATAGGAAGTGAGGTCAATATCCAGCTTCAGGGAAAATATGTGGAGTCTGATTCTCCTCTGTGCTTAGCACTCCCATTGGGCTGGTCCTTAAGGTGAAGAAATGACCACCTTAAGGAGAAAACATTCCGCTATTCCTAAAACAGGAATCTTTCTGAGAATGATACTGTAGCTCATGCAGCATGATACATGAGTTACTGGTGAAATTTTTTGACCTGTGTTATGAAAAAGGTCAAACTAGATGATCCAATCTATGAGTCCTAATAAAGGGAAAGCAATGTTTGATTCAATATTGAGGTGTATTAAACTCAACTGCTAGCTTTTCTCTTAAAAACTATTATCCTGGCAGCTTCTATCAACTCATTGATATACAGTGGTAAAATACAATAAGCTACATGTTCCAGGGAAACAAACAAACAAGCATTAAGCCACGCAGTATGTTCATGCTGTTAAGAATTATTTCTTTCTTTTCAATGGATGAGTGTATACAACAAGGCCTGGTAAAATTACATTTTGTTTATTCAATACATGTATGTCACCTTTACTTTGTGTCAATACAGTTCATATATCAGGTGGAAAAATCACAACAATGATTTTAAATGGAATAAAGTCATGTAGAGTAAGTTTCAATTTATTAAAAATCAACAGATCTGGCTTACTGCAAATGCAAAGAAAGCCTGGTCTAAACATTTTCATTAGATTATTTTTTCTTGAAAATAGTAGTAGATTAAAAGATAGGAAACATTTTGGGAGGAGTCTTCATTTCTTCTAGGTCCACTTTGCACACTATAAGTGCTGAAAGTAGGTGAAAGCAGCTTCGTTGACTCCTCTACCAACCACCTAACCTCTACCCTTGCAAAGAAGTGTACAGGAGATAGTAACGGTGTTCAGCTACTCCCATTTATTGACTAATGTAACATTCATCAGTGGCATAAATTGCAGCTGCTCTCTTGCAACTTTTAATTTCATCAAGCCAGGGGGCCACAGCTAGATGTCCGAAGCCCAGCCACTCTCCAAAGCATCTGAGCTCTACAAGGATCTAAAATCTGCTCTTTTGCTTTTAAATGTTTTCCTGGGGAGCCATTATAAACTACAGCTGTTGCCATTCATACAGTAGCACAAATGTGCATATCCCATAGAACCATCCCAATTTATTCCCAAGTATTTTTCCTAGTGGTGGCAACCATTGCAGTGTGCATCGTACCAAGCACTAACATCAAAGCACTCACCTGCAAACTGCGCTCTAACTCTGGTAGCTGCTGTTGATATTAGGCTGTTGTCTTCTCCAGAGTGGAAACCTTTCCCTGACAGATATCCTGGCAGTCTAAGTTTACTCCCTTGTATTGGTGTTCCCTATATAAGACAAATATGGTTGTTTCATCTGTTATTACTGAGATGAGCCAAGTGGCTCTGCATTTGGTATTTCATCATCATCTTCAGAACATGCATGCCAAGTCTTGCCTGGCATCATTATAGATGTGTTTAGTAATGAGAATTACTTCAACCAGTTTGTTTAACATTTAATGCCTAAAGTGGTTCAGCAATAAAATCATTCAGTCTCCTTTGCATCTATAGTATCACATTCGTATGTATGTATCAGTGTATTTTTTTAAAAAGATGCTTCCACCATTTTAATTAGCTTACCATATTAAGTTAGTTGAGGGTACAGTACTTAGCATATTATTAGAGTAAAGAAGCTTCATTTTACATGCCTACCTGGCCTAAACCATCTGCCCATGGTTGTAAGTGAAGAATGCTCTTGTTTTCACTGAAAGGTTTAGGTGCACAAAGCAAAGACTTATGAAAATTTGAAACCCACAGCCCCCAAATCACCAGATTTTGATCCTCTTTGCACCAGAGATGAAGAAAATATGAGACCCTAACTTAGATTTAAAATATTCTTTTTCTTTGTGGCCTTATGTTGTTCAGAATATCTCCGCCCATAGTCTTGTATTGCTTGTTTTAGAAACATGCCATTTATGTTTTAGAAATTTTTCTGCACATCACACCAGCTACTAGGAAACATCATAACAATCACTTTGACTCAGTCAACATAAAAAGACTAACCCAGAAAACAAGCTAAAGATGTAGCCTATGTCACTTGTGACCTGGCAACCTCAAAAGCACTGGGGTTTGAAACATTCATTTAAAAACAATTCATTGAAATTGTAGACAACACATGCAGCAGCTGGGAGATGTAGTAAAGGCCATTATATCTCTGTCTAGACACACCACTGGCTATGGAGACACCATCTTGCATCCCATTACCACCAAGTATACAGAACAGACAAGTCAACAGCCATCTTGGAGAGCTGCAGGAGAACTATCCCTAAGAAATAAAATAACACCTTCCTGCAGCGTTTTTCCAGACTCTGTGAGAGGCCGTTATCACATGTGGAAGTCCTTAAATTAATCTCAGAGGTTCTTATTTGATTGGAAATTCAGCAAAAACATAACTTTTCACTGGTCTTCTTGTACTACAGATTGCTTCCCACAGCTGTGATTTTAAAAGTACCATCAATTAACCTTATATGGATACTCAGTTAACAATTAAAGCACCAAAGAAAATGAAAGCAAATGTATTAAAATTAACATCTGTTCAAACTGTGCGCTATGATTAAATCTTTTAAATTTTTTAAAGCAATAGACCTAAAAGTGAATGTAATACATAATATTATACAAGGAGTGAGTGAAAAGAATCTCTATATACTTGATGCATCAATGAGCAAAGCCATACTGAGTTGTGTGAATTTAGCATTGAAAAGTGCCAGGCTGAGAGCAATAGCCATTGAAGTCCTCTATTTATGATTGGAACAGATCAAGCAGAGGCAGAAGCAGTGCCAGCTTCCCCACACTAAACCCATCAGCGTGCCTTAATACTGAATGGCAACTTTTAGAGGTCAGAAAACAATATGGTGTCTGATCCAATTGGACTCTTTACACTGACCTCAACTGGCATTGGACCAGGTACTTATGCTCTGTGTCCATTCAAACCTTGTTTCCTCCAGTGACTGCCAACATGGATGCTAATTATTACAATATTAGTGGTTTTTTTGGTACTATGCACAGGAAATGAGACCATCAAACTCATTTTCCATGAGTCACTGAACCGTGATCTCATTATAGCAATTGTGTGTCATTACCATCATCATCTGAATCTCAATAGCTGAAAGGATCGAATTATCAGTCTCCTATGCCATCCTGCTTACAATGGAGTGGCATTTCTTTAATCAGTAACTTCACATTGCAGATTATAATGTATTACTCTCATGGCTGCACAGTATGAGCGCACATTATCAGCACAGAGGAAACAATTTCAGGAAAGGAGTTCATAAAATGCCATCTATAAACCAAAGTGAAAGGTAGGGAGATTTTCTAAATTTTATCATCCCAACTGGTATCATATTAATTTTCACATCGCTGCTTGATTATTTATACTCTAAAGATATACTAATCAAAGAATCACAGGGAGAGTTTGCATAAGACTAATATTTTTAATGTACTGAATGAAAGATCAATTAAAGTTTTGAAAAAAAAAAGATTTTAAAATATATGAGAGAGGTTTATAAGATAAAGTATTAATAGGCAAAGTACAGTGCAGCTGTGCAAAGAACTGTAATGACAGTTAGTGAGTTGATAAGTTTTAGTGAAAGAAATTCATGAGACTAGAATTTCTGTCCTTACTGTACCTCTGCAGATGACCCTTGATATTCTGAGGACTCTGATGGTTTAGAAGGAGTTGACGTTTTGCTGTTTGTCAACCATGGTTTACCATAATTGCGTGTTAAATGATGGGGTGTCTGTATGAAACAATGGCAAATTAAAATATAAAGGACAGTAGATGGAAGACAAGTCTGAGAGGGGTATCCAGAGTACAGAGACTAATTTTACAATTAATATAAAAAAATCAAAACAAAGCAGAAAGAGTTGGTAAAGTCTGTAAAAAGAGGGGTATGATTTATTTCTGAAATGCAGTGGAGAGGTTCACTTTTGCTCTTTCAAAACACATTCTCTGTTTGCTGATTGACTTATATGGCACCATAAATAAAGAAGTCTTTTCTAGTGTAGGAAAAAAACAGTAAATGTGAGAACAACACTGAAAACACCCATTAGAAAATGATGAAAAGAAGTCCTACCTTGGGTATACTTGTAGCAACCGCTTGTGGTGAAGCTCCCTGTCCAGCCTGACTTGACACAGAAGTAGATCTGTTGGGAGAAGCACCCCGTGAAGAAGGTCGTGATCTACGACCTCTCGCTCGGAAAGCAGCCACATTCTGATTAGCAGCATCTGCCAAAATGAACTTTTCACGCAGCTCCATGTTTGTCCTCCCTTTAGCTGCAGCACATAAAAGAGATGGGGCAAGAAGTCAGCTTTGCAGATCAATCACATGTCTGCTTGTCACCTCTTTTCTCATGCCATCCCCAGCACAGTGTACCAACAAATAAAATGCATTACTATGTAATGCATTCATTTTGGACACACGACGGTTCATGTGTAGAACATGCTTATTCTAGTATCTTAGGCCAGCAGGAATGAACAACTGTCAAAGAAAGTCAGCATGATAATGGAATGCTCAACATGCTAAGTCACTGTTAACCAACTATTAACACACACAGACACAACCTGATGACTTGCTTGACTAATACTACAACTACTTATAATAAATAACACTTACTTGGACAACCGAGAAAAAATTACCAAGTGTAAATGGCAGGAAAGCAGCAAATATATTTGTTCTAAACTATGAATTACAGTACTTTGGCAACATGCAATGATGAACATAAAACCCAAGCTACAATGAGGTAATCCCTGGCTAAGCACTCACGCAGACATACAGGCACAATGAGAGAACATTCCACAAGAATCAGAGGCATAGCATGTTAGTATTTTATTGTATCAGCAGCATGAATGGCAATTGTTTTTGAAACACTTTGGAAGAGTGTCAAAAATTAGCCTGTAAAAGCATCAGCCTACACAAAAAAATATTAAGCCAAATGTGATGAGTTAAGCATATTGTTATATATATATATATATGTGTGTGTATGTATAATATATATATATATATATATATGTTTACTAAAGCAAGAGAAGGAAAGAAAGGAAGAGAAAGGCCAGGAAAGACAAAGAGAGAGAGGTTTGCCAACCTATGGTAGGCTGAGTGGTAATTGAAGAGTTTGATTCCGAACGTAACATTTTACTCCCATGATGATGAACTAGAAAAAATGACACAGGATATGAATAACATTAAAGAAAATCGTTAGCAGGAGAAGAAATTAAGTTCAGCAATTGCATATGCAAGAGACTCAGAGCACCAAGCCAAAAGACAGAACCGAGAATAAATGCTAAGTGTTCCTAAGTAAGCTCTCAAAGTTCCCCTGAGCAAAAAATAGTGTTTGAATAGACTTAGCTGCAGTGGCAAGTACCCTTATGTAAGAAAGGTGTTAATCTGTCAACATAAGAAATATCAGATTAAACTGCTTTACATAGAGTTATTGTACATATTAAGCTGTATATAATGAGAGCACTATGAAATATGCAGTGTGTGTGAGAAGATCCTGGCAGAGACTAAGGCTTAAGGAGGGGCTTGATCCTGTTCCACTGAAATCAATGACAGCTTGATCACTGATTTCAACCAGTAGTGTAATTAGAGCATGTGATTACCTCAGAGAGTTCGGTATTCACATGCTCTAAGCTATGCATTTACTTGAACCCCTTGCTGAATTGGGGCGCATGCACAGTTACACCTACAGTGGGAGTTATTTAGAGGATGTTCTACATACATGTCCTAATTAGGGAACAGGAGAGGCAGGACCTAGCATCATCTCTGAGGGGAAGTAATAAAGAATTTTAATAATCACATTTATTGATTTCAATAGCAATCAATTTCAACCAAAGTTCACTCTAAGTTGTGCGGCTATGCAGCTGTGTAATAAGCCCTGTACAGGGGCTCAGGCTGCTGTGCACAGAGCTGCTATGGCCAGGGGAGAGGACCCTCATCCAAAACCACTGCAGCTCCCTGGCAGGGCCAGAGGAGCATGTCTTTCCCCTGGTTGTTGCAGCTCCCTGCGGCGACTTGAGGAGATGCACACTCCTCTGGCCCTAACAGGGAGCTACTGTGGCTGGGGGAAAGATGCACTCTTCCCAGGTCCAGCAGCAAGGCTAGATTAAGAAGCGAGCTTAGGGGCTCCAGCTCTGGGCTAAGAGTGGCCTTCTTAGTCCAGAGTCTTGGGCTGCAGCTTGTAAAGCCCGTGTTCTGGGCAGCCCCTACTTGGGTGGAGTGGGGGTGAGGTAGCTCTGCATGATCGCCACACGGGCTGGGTAGCTCTGTCCCCACAGCTCCCATTGGCCAGAAATTACAGGCAATGGGAGCTGCAGAGGCGATGCCTACACATAAGCATTAGGCAGCACAGAACCACCTGTCTCCCACCACCAAACAAGAGATGCCCCAGGTCAGCACCCTGCAACCTAGCCTCTGCCCTAGCCCTGAGTACACTCCACCACCCTAGCTCCCTCCTAGACCCTCCACCCCAACCCTGAGACCCGTCCTGCACCCTAACTACCGCTCAGACCCCTCCATCCCAACCTCCTTTCCTGAGCCCATTCTCACATTCCAAATCCCTTGGCCCCAGTCCGGAGCCCACTTCTACACTCCAAATGCTTCATCCCCAACCCCACTTCATAGCTGCACCCCTAGTCAGAGCTCTCATGCCACCCCAACCCTGAACCCCCCTCTCACTCTGAACCCCTCAACCCTACCTCCCACCACAGATCATCCATGCAGAATTAATTTGTTATGTGTACTAATATTAAGGTGATGTGTCACTGGGGGTATGTCTAGACAGCATCCCTGTGTCGGCAGGGGGATGCAGATTAGGCAGGTCGACATTGCAAATGACTGTTTACAGGATCTGTCGAAAAAGGCTTTCTTTCTCGACAGATCCCCCCTCTAGACTACTGCTTTTTGCCGACAAAGTGCTGAGTCAGCAAAAACGGTGGCCATTTTTATGCAAATTAAGCACAGGATATTTAAATCCCCTTCATTTGCAATGTCGCCCTGCCTAATCTGCATCCCTCTGCCGACACAGGAATGCAGTCTAGACATACCCACACTGTTTCCATATTGGTAAAAATAATAAAATTCATTCTGCACATGGACATAAAAAAATAGAAGAAACACTGATTACAACCTGAGTAGGATGTGGAACCCCAGTAAAGAGCATGTGAAGAGTACAGCCAGTCAAAATATTTTCAACATGATTTTTTCCCATTGAAAAATACTACTTTGTCAATATCAAAGCATTATGCAAAACCGTTATCGGTTTTGACAAAAGTTCTGTCAGGGAAGTTTCTCAGGTCCAGGCTGGACGTTCTGGTGAAAGCGAGACAGAATGGCTCTACTGCTGGATAGTTATGGCTCTCACCTGGGAGATGAGAGCAGGGACTCTCGCACCTGCAAGGTGAGTGTGCTAACCACTGAGCTATTGGCTGTTACGAGGAAGTGGGGACACGTGGGTTTTTTTGCTTCTGCAAAATATTTCGAATGGTCTGAGTTTATTTGATCTTAGTTTAGTCGGCTTAGTTTATTCAGAACAAAAACAAATTTGGAAACCACAGCATAATTAATGAAACATTTTTTTTTTTCAGGAGAGTCCGGTGTAGAGTTTGAAAAGTGATGATGGTATCTCTGGAATGCTATTGGACATTGTGATACCAAGCAGCAGCTAATTCTCCATTGCCTTGTACTATGTGGAATAGTTTACCTTGTGCAGAGTGAAAGTAAAATGTTACCAAATAAGAATGTAGCAAAGGTAAACAACACTGCTTCTTTCCAGGCAGTCAAGAATCAGGCTTTTGGTCACAGCTGCAACTGTAATATTCTTCACTTTTCTTCCTCTTGGGATATGAAATGCCTGTGTTTTGTGGGCAGTAGGCTTATTTTCAAATACTGCTAAAAACAGACTTTTATAGCAACTCAGCGTTGACATTTTCTACTCCATTTGTGATACTCCCTTTACAGTATTTAAAATAGGAAATGTTATTACTACTATGGTAATGATTTCCATATGTGAATGGTATTCACTGTTACTGCTTATGGGTTAGTTCTTGTTCACTGTAAGTTTCTTCTTTTTGATTATACTACCTACCTTTGTTGCAACAGGAACTACAAAATACAAGTGATCTATCTGCCCAAGGTATTTATTTATTAAACTTTTCAAATCCTGAGTCCAATCCAGCAGTTCTCAGGCAAACAATGGGAGTTTTACCAAAGTAAGTCTAAAGATGAGCATGCTTCTGACCTTCGGTGACTTATCTTTTTCCTCACCTTTCCCTTCAACTTTCCTATTCTATTGTTGTCTGATCCTACTGAATCAGCTACTATACTCTTTCATAAGAAAGTACATAATTGTACTTGCTTTTAACTCATTCTGAACAGGTAGAGTTGCTATTACAATTTTTTCGATACCAAAGTAAGTCTAAAGATGAGCATGCTTCTGACCTTCGGTGACTTATCTTTTTCCTCACCTTTCCCTTCAACTTTCCTATTCTATTGTTGTCTGATCCTACTGAATCAGCTACTATACTCTTTCATAAGAAAGTACATAATTGTACTTGCTTTTAACTCATTCTGAACAGGTAGAGTTGCTATTACAATTTTTTCGAACTGCAT